GTAACTCAGCTTTATACCAACAGGATTCCCAATACTTGTAGCAAATGTGTTTTCTAGAAACATCACTAAGATAACATTGAAATGAAGGTACATTACATAAAAACACAGGAAGACCCAATGTCGTAATCGTAATAAGGTTGGAGCATCCACACTTCTGCATATCAACTGGAGACAGCATCAATTAATTTCTTTTTTTTTTAATTTTCATTCTCTCATGCTTATCAATTTTTAAAGACCACAAGAAGAACTGAATAAAGAATGAGATTTAGACTGTTATGGTCATTTTTTAACTCAATGATCAAACTAAAAGTCAAAATCTCTGTATATCACAGAGAATTGTAAAATGAAGAACTAATACAAGTTCTGCATTCAACCCAGCTATGAGTCCCAAATCCCAATAATATTCATAGTAAAAGGTTTATGAAGAGGGGAAAAGAATTAGCTACCTTACAAAATAAAAAAATCTAACCAGTTTCCTACATATCAATTATCATTTTCTAGCAATTGGTTGCTAGATTTTTAATTATCATAAATATTTATAACAAAGCCAATGTCCTCCGGCTTTTGATTCAGGTTTTAAATTGCCCTCTAAGTAATTAACTGCTAAAATTACCCATTTGTCTAAAATTGACATTATACTAAGAAATAAACCATTAGTTAATAGTGAATATTTATTTCAGAGTGCCATGTTGAGAATAGACACATTTTGTAGGCAATTAAAGTAGCAAAGTGATTCTAGAAATTTAGTTAAATTGGCAATTTTTCTTATGAGTTTATTCCAGTGCATATAAGAAATATACATCAAGAAAGATAAAACTTTAATAGATGTTTTGCTGGGAATTAGTATAAAGTTTCCAGACTATTTCATGCTGTTCTAATTGTTCTTTTTTTCTTTCCATTCTTCAGTGATACATGGCCTTTGTAATGCTTGAAATTCTACCTGACTCACACTAAAGAACAATCTCCTCAATTCTTAGGTGCATGACACCCCATACTTTTACAATAAACAAAGATATATGAAATATAAACAAATATATGTTCATTTTAGAATCCAAGATAAATATTTAAAATATTTCTACACATTGCATGTGCATAGTGATGAAACTAAAAGTCAAAATCACCAAATTTAGAAGCAAATGGATTTGATCACTGTATTCCTTCTGTTCACCATAATCAATATTCAGTATCTATTACAATCCAAATATTTAATGATGTATTTAATTTAGCTAAATACAAAGCTTTGGTGTTATTAAAAGAAGATTCACTCTTAAAGGTTATAGCTTCGCTCACCTGGTTTTCACATCTCCTTAAATTTATAGAGAACCATTACAAGGTCTCATTTTAGCTCAACTGTATTTTTTTTTAATTAACATCTAGCCCACTGTTATGAACAGCTATTAACTTAGTAAATATTATTCTCATGGTCTTCATTTCGCATTCACAGATTTGAGTGACAATAAATATCACCGCATGAAAAAAATATGCTAATACATCAAACAGAAATACCAGTGGGGCATCTGTCACTATGTCGCAGTCAGACTTCTTTGAGAATACTTTCACCTGCAGTGCAGATCCTAAATGTAACCCTGGAGGAGTGCAGTGTCTCTAAGCGGCAAACAATGAAGAAAAGTCAGTACATAATTAGGTGAGTGGCCTCCCATGGAAACCGACATGAAATAAGGGCCGTCTGCTTTTGTGCACTGCAATTCAGATGCCAAAGCCCAGGCATTAACAAGATGCTTTCTATTTTCTAACTTCCCATACCCCTCAGAGAAGGTGCAACTATTATCTTCAATAGGAAAAATGATGTTAAACCTATATGACTGAGTGCATATAAAGTCACAAATAATAAGCGAATTACAGTAATTGTGTGTATTAGTCATGCCAGATAGAGAAAAAAAACACTAGACAGAGTCGAAAAGCCCCCTTTAATTTCAATGGTCTTGATCTTTATTTTATATAAAATGTGGCAGCTGAAATGGATGACTATTCTAGGATGTGAATCATGGAACAGGCGTAGCTACAACACAATCACGTGAAGAGGTGTTTTTCTTTTTAAATTACATCCACATTTAATGTTTAAATTATTATGATCATGGAAATGTTGTTTTCAGCTGAGGCGTCGTTTAATATGAACACTTTCCTTTGCCCCTGCACAACAATTTGTTTTTTTCTAGTGTTGGCAATGATCTAGTTCTTTTGTCCATGGGTTTGTTTTCCTTTGCTTAGTTTTCTTTTGTAGTTACCACTAATCCAGCACGCAACTCTTCTCCCATCCTGTAAATCTACTTAAACACATAGGTATTCTCTCTAATAATTCTTCCTCTTGGAAATCTCTCCTGGAGACATGTGACTTGCTCCAATTGGCCTGGTGGGTTACCCTCCCAGCCTGATGCATCACTGTCATCCTGGGATTCTTTTCACTCTTGTCCTGAGGCTCTCCTCCACCTCTCTCCTCTGGTGGCCTCTGTGCCTGGTGTCTTTGTCTTCTCTGCCTTGGTTTGTGCCCAGTTCTAGTGGAGTACATGTTTATGTAGCTTCCTGAAAAAAACTGCAAAGCAGGCAAAATTTCCAACTCCTTGAACATCTGAAAATAATTGTTTTACCCTCACTCTTCACTGGTAGTTAGTATAGAATACTAGGTTGGAAATAATCAGAACTTTCAAGCCATTGCCCACTGCCATCTCCCTTCCAGTGTTGCTGTTGAAAAGCCCAGTGCCGCCCTGGCCGCTGTGGCTCAGTTGGTTGGAGCATTGTCCCATACACCAAAAGGCTGTGGGTTCAATTCCCAGTCAGAGCACATAACGAGGCTGCGGGTTCAATCCCCAGTTGGGGCACATACAGGAGGCAACCAATCAATGTTTCTCTCTCACATCAAAGTTCCTCTCCCTCTCTCTCTCTCTTTTGGTGTTGCATCTAATTTTCTTTACATTATTTCTATGCTGACTGCACATCTCATTCCCCACTAAGCTGTCACCATGTCCTAGGAGGCGTCAACTCCTGCAGTAGTAAATCTTATTTCCTGCCATGGTACAACCTGTACTTGGAATAAGTGGCAAACACGAAGCCTCTGAAGTATGATGAGCAACCTTAGGGTGAAAGAAAAGCTTACGAAACTAGATTAAGAGCAGCTGAAATACCATTTCCGGGTGTGAACTTACAAATGCTACAAAAATCACCATTGACACTGGCCCGAGGGCAGTGAACACGGAGATACTTTGTGGAATGACCTTTCTTTGTTTGTTTCACCAACAAAATACTCCATCAATATTTGTCCCAAACTAATGACACACAAAGGGGGAGTGAGAAAACCAAGTAAGAATAATAAAAACCCAGTGATGCCATGGTTCTTTGAAAAGATTCATTTAGCTCTTTAATCTCAATCCTGTCACTGCAATTAGAAGCCAGGAAGTGAAAATTAGAGCTGCTGTTGATTTCCACTGAGGCTGTTAGTACCCTGGGTTCCCCAAAGCTAAAGGTCTTACTACCTGGGCTCTCTATATATTCCCAGGGTTAAACTAGGGAACAGGAGTAAAGATGTACTGTGCTATTAATTTTAAACCCCGTCAACCCTAGGAAAAGGACATTTAATATATATATAAATAAGACAATTTGATATGTTTAATTGTAAAAAAAATAAAATTATGCTCATGTGCCATTAACATTTATTAAACATGACCAAGATTAATAAAACAAGTCTCTTCATCTGTTAAAATTTCTCCCCCAATCTAACTATGTATTATTTTTATAAAGCAAAAAATAAATACACAAAACTCATATCAGCATATATACCTCTACAAGCGAAGGGAAAAGCACAAAAGAAAAAACATGCCATGTTGTGAAGAGTGGTGTAGACTACGAATGGGAAGAAACCCGAACATTTTACTTTAGATACATCTATAGTACTTAACTGATTCTCAGGGTCATGAAATGTAGTCATCTGAGTTACAGAATGTGAGCACATCATTGAACATTCAGGCATAACTTGGTATCTTCTAACTCCCTAACATTTGCCAAAAAGGCTTTTCTATTGTAAGCTTGACATTTTGGGAGAATTCTCAAGATAATTGTGAGGTAAATCATAAAAACTTAGTTATTTTGACACATAGTAATCCAATTTATAGTAAAAGAAATGAAGACAGCAGTAGGAAATAGAACCACTGTTAATTATTTGTATATACAAATGAAAAGTATGCTCTGTGAACTCACCATAACACTGTTTTGGGTCATAATAACACTTATTCATTTATTTTTAATTAATCTTTGCTGTTGAAAGTATTATAGATGCCCCTCCCCATTTTCCGCCATTGGCCCCCTCCCAGGCCTTCACTGCATTATTGTCTGTCCGTGGGTTATGTATATAAATTCTTTGGTTAATCTCTTCCTGTACCTCCCCCTCTGAAATTCCTCAGTCTGTTGCATGCTTCAAAATAATAATACTTTTTTTTAAAAATATATCTTTATTGATCTCAGAGAGAGGAAGGGAGAGGAAGAAAGAGAGATAGAAACATCAATGATGAGAGAGTCACTGATCGGCTGCCTCCTGCACGCCCCCTGCTGGGGATCGAGCCCGCAACCCGGGCATGTGCCCTGACCGCGAATCGAACCCCGATCACCTGAATCCTAGGTCGACACTCAACTGCTGAGCCACGCCCAGCCGGGCTAATAATGCTTTATATTGACGCTAACTGACACTTCAGTATGGGGTTCCAAGGTAGAGCTACTAAAAATAGTGCTACAACAGGATTCCAGTGGATCTCACTCATTACTGTTTCTCCATGAAGAAAAAATACAATAACATCTAAACAATAATACTCCATTGAAAATATTTAATGTTAAACATGGTTCCCGACTACAACCAATGGCTATGGTTCACTTCGGTATTCTCTGTACACAAACATTTCTTTAAAAGGTAAAGTTATGGTAGAGAGATTAGACTTTGGCTCAAAATAATGCACAAGAAGAATGCTAATACTTGACTTAAAAAGATCTTTTCCTACCTTCACATTATCTGGATGCAGCCCCCCAGGGTGCTTGTCCATGTACTGACATAAATCAGTGTGCTAGGGAAAAAAAAGAGAAAATGTATTAACGTCCCTCTGGCTACAACATGATGAATCAATATTTTTCGACTTCAAAGTCACCATTACCCTCTGAACAAAGCAAATATAAGACAAGTGGTGGGTTTTTTTTTTAGTTTACGCAATCACATGCTCCTCCAACCCTCATTTTTAAACAATTTCAATCATTACCTTTACCTCTAGGCTCTGTTTATGTTAAATATATCTGTGTATTAGAAGGAATTCATGTCCATAATTTGTTAAATGCCTAATTCCCTTCTCATTGAATATAAATCTTTTAGCTAAAAACAAACAAAACAACCAACCTTAAAATAAGTAGCTTAACTAAGAAACTAAACTAAAACACGCACACATACACAATTAACCAATCCATTTATAATTTCAATTATCTTGTATTTTTCAAGTACAAATGCAGGTTATGATTATTTTGTGTGGAAAAAATACTACAATTAGATCATTATAGTAAAATTACTCACTGGATTTATTTAAATTTCTCTTAGATGTATTCATTAAAAAACAATCTTCAGGTTTCCAAAACTCCTGAATATATTTCAAAAAATATACCTTATAAAATACAAGTACTTTCAAAATTATAAATTAAGACAAAAATACATCCAGATATAACAACAACAAAAATCCCTATTAATATGCCATTATTCTTTTAAATATCCCAAGCTCAATTTGCCCAGAATTATATATTTCCTTCTTAATGCTTTTCTGTTTATGAACTATAAAGGATTTTGGAAAAAACATGTAAAGTTGCTATTCCAATTTTTCTTGCCTTACTGGAAGATACTATAAAAATTATAACATTTAATCATTCTGTAAAAGCCACTGAACATGAGTAGTTGAGTCCTATTATCAGGAGTCAATTATTGAGAAATCATGATACATATTCAAGAACCTTGCAGTAACCATGGTGACAACAGTTCAGATTCCTTTACTGAGTTTTCATTTCATGCCAGGTGGTAATTGATGAGGATATATGGCAGCATTTAGCATTCATTCGCTATTCGTCATGCCATTTCTTGAGCCCTTATTATGTTCCAGGCACTACACTAGTCACTAAGGACACGTAAGGTGGCCAACTGAAGGGCAAAGGGAAAGAAAATGGGACAGAAGAAATGCTCTTAGATATGTTCTGAGACAATATCGCCTTTATTTTGGACCACAGTCAAGGTGCTTAGCTTCTAAATCAAAGGCAAACTCCATGATGAAAGAAACTATGTTTAATTTGAAAATTATTCTCTCTCTGCTCCAAGGAAAATGTCAGACACAGAGAAGAACTGAGTAATACAGGTGGAAATAGTTTTACATATAGTATAGCTCATTAAAATGACTCTAAAATATAATTATAATGGGTTCTAAGGAGTTTTTCCTAAGTGAATATATACAAGTTTTATATTATTCATTTAACAAACTGAGGAATGAATTCTCTACTCCAAACTGCCACTTTGTAACTCCATATTATTAAGTTTTGCGTCATTTCAAACAGGAAAAACATCTCCCTTGAGAAGAGTTTTGAAGAACAAAAAATGAATACATAAGAAAGTACTTTTAACCCATAACATGATATACAAAAATAAGGTATTATTTAAGACACTGGTCATTACACAGTAAGACCGCGAGAAAAGAACTATATCTAATTTGTTAATTGCTTCTCACACAACAAATAAAATGGTAAATAGAAAGTACATCCAATCATATCAATTACAACATATCCATGACATTCTAAAATTATTATTAAAAATGTAAAAAACTCAGTTTACAAAATAAAGAAAATCATATCACACTGTTTTCAAGGTACAAACTAAGAATAATAAACAGAAAAAAAGAGAGAAATAATATATTTTCTATATTATACATTTATATTACGTTAGTTATACTGGTAAATGTCAATAAACATGAATCAGCATATCAACATAAATATTAGATAAGCAGAATTCAAGGAAAATTTAGTAAACATTGATAAATTTAACAACATATCAACATAAAACAATATAAAAATAAAGGAAGAAACTAAAACATTCTCAAAATCATGAAGGGTTTAGCTTACTTCTTTTGAAAATCAAATAGAATTGGCCCAAAAAGGGGGGAAGATGATGAAGAACATGAAAACCACAATTAAATAGCATGTTTACTTTTGTGCCCAATAAACTTGTACTGCATGTTTTTTAAAACACAAATGGCATCCTCACAAAAACTGACAATGTATTAGACATAGAGGAAGTCTCAAAAGTTATCAGAAAGCAGAAGTCATATTACACCTTCTCCCACAACTAAATAAACATCAAGGTATACTATATTCCATCAACTGTAAGACATACCATTTATCTTTGACATTGGAATAATAGCATTAATTTGCTACTACCAGGCAGTAGTTGAAATACAGATGTCATTGCTTGTGTTTGAGCAAACTTTTATTTTGCTCTATTTGCAGAGTTATTACTCTGATGACATAAGCATCAACAAACAACTGAAGGACCATGTGAGGAAGAAAGATGGAAAGATGAGATATAATATTTATCTGGAAACTATTCATTCAAAATTCCAGGTAAGATTTTTATAAGAAGTGCCAGAATTAAAAACCTGTAGGGCTCTTGCAATAAGCATAAGTAGAAATTCTGAATGATAGGAAAGCTCTCAGTCATGGTTTGAATATGTTCTCTTTTTTCCTTCTTAGTAATCCAAAAAGTAATGTTACTTCCAGTCAATGGGGTCGTAAGGTCAATGGTAGCAGGAGGAAAATAAGGAAGAAAAACAGTCCAAAGGGGGAAATAAGAAAAGGAAATGCAAAGAAAGAAAATCTATTTTCATGGAAATTGAAAAAAATATTTAAACCCAATAAAACAAACCAATCTTTGGTCAGACTAATTTTTTCTTAAAATGAGGGTTTTTCTGAAATCAATATTAAGAATAAGGAAAATTATACAAGTAAAAATGTGGAGATTTAAAAATATACTATAATCATATAGTACTACAAACTGAACTAAACAATATTATAAACACCTTTAAACCAATACATTTGAAATCTAGAGAAAACTTGTCTTTTAAAAAATAAATGATTAAATTTGATTCTATAAGAGATACGAATTGAAGAGCTATACTTTAAAAAAATGTACCAAGTTCAGAGGGTTTTCATGGAAAATCTTCCAAAGCTTCGAGTAACAGATATAAATCACTCCAGAACAACAAAAAAGATGCTTCCCACTCCTTCTTTACAGTTACAATGCCAAAGCAGGCAAAACCAAAGGAAAGCTGGAGAGAACTAAACCAGGCTCTTTATGACCACAGATGGGTAAATTCTGACAGTAGGTTCTGGAATTCAACACCAAACAAAGTGAAACCTAGGAATGAAAAAATAGTTCAACATAAGAACATCTGTTAATGTGATCCTCCAAAAGTTTTATGGTATTATATATTTGACACTTATTAAATGCTGATTTTGCATAAATAAATAAGACAAAAGTTTATATTCTGTGGATTTTAATACTTGTAAATTATTATAGCTTTTTTCCAAGAATAAAGTATTCAAGTTTTTAAAAAAAATAAAAAACAAAGCTATAAAGAAGGAAACACATCAGGAATGGGTGCAGGGTGGGGTGGGGAGGGATTCCTGATCCTCAAAGTACACATGATGCCCTTCTGAGTCTATGCCCAATGGCATCAACATCACGAATCTCGGGAAAGAGGCTTCTTCAGAAATGAAATCGTAGGACATTTAATAAAGATTTTTCCAAACCTTTAAAATTTTTAAATTCGTATTTACTTAAATGTATGGCATGAAAATGTGTGTGTGCATACACATCACATGCATACACACACGGCTGTCATTAATTAACTATGTAACCCTGGGCACATCATATCACCTCTGTATATCACTAGCTTCATCTAATGAGGATAATCCTAAAATAACTAATCATACGGATATTGTGAGAATTAATGAGCAAGTGTGTTCAGAACATTGCCCAGTGACTGGTAGATGCTATAATGATGATGATGATCATGATGATGACAACCTTTTGTGGTGTGTTTGGAGTAGGGAGGAATATTTGGAAGGACTGCAATTAAAAACTGAAGGATAAATACAGTCAGGAAACTGGAGCTCCCAGGGGTTGCACCCGTCCTTCCATAGGGGCCTCTCGTCTGCATGCTCAGACACCATCACGCACACTCCACTGCCCCTGTACACAACCACCGCGACTCCACACGGCAAGTTCACTATTAGCCTCCGACTGCTCTGTGTGGTCAGGGTAAGAACATGGAGAATCTCGGAGCAAGAGACAGGATAGTACAAGGTTTTGTACCCTGGCAAACTTCTGTTCTACCTGCATTAAAAACTGTTTCTTTTCTCTCTTTTTCAATACACAGCACTACATCTGGGACTGCATTAGATGTGCCAAAACTACAGATTTCTTTACATTGCTTCTTTCCTTTTAACTTCTCTTCTTAGTACAAACCATTGGATTATGTGCCCCTTATGATTTGCACTGGTCCATAAAACAGAACTAAACTAAACAATAATGCTAGAAGGTACTTTGTCACTCCATTTTCTAAAGTCAGCCTGGGTAGAACCACTATCCTCAGATGACACACGAATAATCTCAGATCCATCTGCCTTGATCTCTGGCTATTTCTTGTACAAATAATAAAAGAGGCAGCTTTAGAACAGATGCCCGTGACTGCAGATCACACACTATCGCTCTTCGGCCTTCAATCTCTGTCGTGGCTGTTGGCTCACCTTTCCTCTTTCCCTCCCTGCATTATGTCGCACCTCACCTTCCCACACCTCCAATCGTATCTGCTCCATCGCCGCTGCTGTTCTTCAGGGCAAGGCCTTCAGAAGTGCTTGTGTCTGACAGGATTTTACCTGAATGCCTGAGGACACCTCATCAATCTTCCATGCAGAAGGTGGTTTTAAATGAAGCCATCAGGTATGGCTAGGCTTACAGGTGATGTGGAAGACAGAGCGGGAGCAGAAA